GGATTTGTCAAGAACAAATCATGTCAAACCAATCTGATAGCTTTCTCTGACAGGGTAACAAGCCTTGTGGATGGGGGGAAGCGGTAGATGTGGTATATCTTGACTTTAGTAAAGCTTTTGATACTGTCTCGCATGACCTTCTCATAAACAAACTAGGGAAATACAACCTAGATGGAGCTACTATAAGGTGGGTGCATAACTGGTTGGAAAATCTTTCCCAGAGAGTGGTTATCAGTGGTTCACAGTCATGCTGGAAGGGTATAACGAGTGGGGTCCCGCAAGAATCGGTTCTGGGTCCACTCTATTCAATATCTTCATCAGTGATTTAGATAATAGCATACAGAGTACACTTATAAAGTTTGCAGATGATACCAAGCTGGGAGGGGTTGCAAGTGCTTTGGAGGATAGGATTGTGACGGGTTGAATCACAGAAATCCCTTTGGGACTGCCACCTGATGTGCTTAGACTACCTCTGAGCCTGTTTTCCCTGCCAGCTTGGGACTTCAGTGCCCTGCCTGGTTTGAGCCAGACACACTAGCCTGCTACAAACACAGACCCAGGTCTGAACTACGTCACCCAAAAGCTGTAAGTTTAACTGAAAACAGCTTAAGAAGGCTCCTGTCTCCAGCACTCAGATACCCAACTCCCAAAGGGGTCCAAACCCCAAATAAATCTGTTTTACCCTGTATAAAGCTTATACTGGGTAAACTCATAAATTGTTCACCCTCTATAACACTGACAGAGAGAGATGCACAGCTGTTTGCTCCCCTCCCCCGTATTAATACATACTCTGGGTTAATTAATAAGTAAAAAGTGATTTTATTAAATACAAAAAGTAGGATTTAAATGGTTCCACGTAATAATAGATAGAAAAAAGTGAATTACCAAGCAAAATAAAATAAAACATGCAAGTCTAAGTCTAATACAGTAAGAACGTGATTACAGATGAAATCTCACCCTCAGGGATGTTCCAGTAAGCTTCTTTTACAGACTAGCCTCCTTCTAGTCTGGGTCCAGCAATCACTCACACCCCTGTAGTTACTGTCCTTTGTTCCAGTTCCTTTCAGGTACCCTTTGGGGGTGGAGAGGCTACCTCTTGAGCCAGCTGAAGACAAAATTGAGGAGTCTCCCAGTACTTCATATAGTTTCTCTCTTGGAGTGGAAACCCCTTCCTCCCCCTGTGTAGAATCCCAGCTACAAGATGGTGTCTTGGAGTCACATGGGCAAGTCACATGTCCATGCAGGACTTAGTTCTTTACAAGGACGTTCCCAGGAAAGCTCAGATGTGGATCGGTGTCTATCAAGGTCCATTGTTCGCCAGGTACTTCCATTTACTTGAATAACCCCTTCACGCTATGTTGATCAAATCTGCGTTAGGTGCTTTCTACAGCAAACACTTTAAATACAAGCATAGAGCCAACGCTCATAACTTCAGATATAAAAATGATACATGCATACGAATAGGATGAATACATGCAGTAGAACATAAACTTTGCAAAGATATGTTACATGGCATATCTAGCATAAAACATATTCCAGTTATGTCATATTTACATTCATAAGCATATTTCTATAAAGCATTATGGGGTGCAACGTCACAAGGATTAAAATTCAAAATGATGCGGACAAACTGGAGAAATGGTCTGAAGTAAATAGGATGAAATTCAATAAGGACAAATGCAAAGTACTCCACTTAGGAAGAAACAATCAGTTGCACACATACAAAATTGGAAATGACTGCCTAGGAAGGAGTACAGCGGTAAGGGATCTAGGGGTCATAGTGAATCATAAGCTAAATATGAGTCAACAGTGTAACACTGTTGCTAAAAAAGCAAACATCATTCTGGGATGTATTAGCAGAAGTATTGTAAGCAAGACACGAGAAGTAATTCTTCCGCTTTACTCCACGCTGATTAGGCCTCAACTGGAGTATTGTGTCCAGTCCTGGGTACCACATTTCAGGAAAGATGTGGACAAATTGGAGAAAGTCCAGAGAAGAGCAACAAAAATGATTAAAGGTCTAGAAAACATGATCTATGAGGGAAGATTGAAAAAATTGGGTTTGTTTAGTCTGGAGAAGAGAAGACTGAGAGGGGACATGATAACAGTTTTCAAGTACATAAAAGGTTGTTACAAGGAAGTAGATTGTTCTTCTTAACCTCTGAGGATAGGACAAGAAGCAAATGGGCTTAAATTGCAGCAAGGGCGGGTTAGGCTGGACATTAGGAAAAACTTCCTAATTGTCAGAGTGGTTAAGCACTAGAATAAATTGCCTAGGGAGGTTGCGGAATCTCCATCATTGGGGATTTTTAAGAGCAGGTTGGACAAACACCTGTCAGGGATGGTCTAGATCAGTGGTTCTTAACCTTTACTGCAGCCTGCACCCTTTTGGTTCTCAAAAATATGTTCTCGCACCCCTTATCAAAAATTGTTGAAGTAGGTCAGTTCTTTACACCTAGATATATCATAACTATAGAATGAAAGAGATAGAATTATATATTTAATTTAATTTCACAGTTAAAATTTAATGCAGTCATCGTTATAAAAATGTATAATGTTAATAAATACATCGGTTTGATGAAACAAAGTAGTTGTACTTACGTGCCTGTGCTTAATGTGTGTTTTCGATGAGTTACCTTCTAAACAATCTGGCATGTCTCGCACCCCCAGAAAGGGCATCGCGCACCCCCAGGGGGTGCGTGCACCCCAGGTTAAGAACCACTGATCTAGATAATACTTAGTCCTGCCTTGAGTGCAGCGGCCTGGACTAGATGACCTCTCGAGGTCCCTTCCAATTCTATGAGTCTATGATCTTGAAACAACCCTCCATAGCCAGGTCTCCAGAGTTAGCTGGAGCAGTTCTGAGCCTCACAGTTGCCCTTCTAGCAGACTCTTGTTAGATAGGGAGGTCTAGGTTGGACATTAGGAAAAAGTTCCTAACTGTCAGGGTGGTTCAACACTGGAATAAATTGCCTAGGGAGGTTGTGGAATCTCCATCTCTGGAGATATTTAAGAGTAGGTTAGATAAATGTCTATCAGGGATGGTCTAGACAGTATTTGGTCCTGCCATGCAGGCAGAGGACTGGACTCGATGACCTCTCGAGGTCCCTTCCAGTCCTAGAATCTATGAATCTATGCAAGGAGTGTGCAGCTAGTACTTGACCCACATTGAATGAACAAGTACCCTTAACCCATTTAGTTCATTCTGACCAACTCTTCTAGGAAATCCCAGCACCACTCACTGCTTTCGGTTGTGCAAGTGAACTCACCCATCAAGCATCCCTCTCTGCTCAAGAACCCTCCTGGCCCTGGACCACCACCTGATGGACCCACCAGCTTCTTTAAACTGGACTGGAGTTTATCAGAAAGGGGGCCAGCTTTAAAAAAGTAACATTATATGGCGGGACTGGGTGTGGGGATACTAAAGCCAATAGAGATGCTTTGTGTTTGCTCACTTGCCTGCTTGTGAGACTTTAAAAGGCATTTTAAAAAATATACACCTCCAGGGCACAAAGGGAGAAAGGGATCCCAGGAGATGAGTCTCACAGGCCCGGAGCGTAATGAAACATGCAGGGATGCAGCATGACACCCCTGGTCAGACTGAGGGAAGTACTGTACGGAATGAACGCACTGAGCTCGGGCTTCAGGGAGCAGGAAGAAATATGGACAGGGCAGCCAGTTTGCAGGAGGCTGCAGTTGTGTGGAGGGGGATGGAGGACCGGGGATCTGTTGGAAACTAATGCGAACAAAAGAGAGGCTAAGGAAGCAGTGAGGTGTGTGGTGGGGGAAGGGAGGAGGCAGAAGGCTTTTCCTTGCAGGCTCGCAGGTCAGGTGAAAGGAGGCAGAGGTGATGGGCGCTGGAGTGTGGTGTAGCTGAATGAAAGCGCTCGTGCTGCAGAAGAATCAAGGCCACCGCCGTGGGGAGAAGGCAGAGAACAAGCCCAGGGCTGGGCTGGGTATAGCAGGGGGCGCAGGTTTGTGATCCCAGAGTTATGCATGGGATCTTTGGGGGGGCGTGTTAATACCGCTCCAAACAGCAAATCCCTCGTGCAGCGCTGAGAGCCTCGGGGCAGGAGGGACCAACTCACACAAACAGGCTGGAGCTGTGCTGTGCTCGGACCAAGGCGGCCCAGAATATTCTCGGGTCACTCGCGGCTGGCTGGCCCCGTGCACGGAGAGACGCTAGCAGGACACTGGGGTTTCTGGGCTTGGGGAAGATTCCCGCGCACTGCACTCCAGGCAAACAGGAGCTGTGGCTTGTTTATCCAGGTGGCGACACATGCAGAAGGTTGTTTTTAAAACCACGGAGTCGGCCCAAGAGCGACACCCCTCCTGCTTGCCAGCCAGCGGCCCGAGCAGGAACGTGACGGTCCGTCTCAGGGAAGCCAAGGGTGGGCTTTGGAAAGGACGCTCCGAAGTTGGCAGGGACTCGCTCCACTGCAGACTCCGGGGCAGCACACGCTGAGGCGATGCACTGAGAGGGCGCGCAGGCGGGGAGGCTGCACCCTCCGAAGGGAAAGGAGACCCTGGCTGCCTGCAAAGCAACCTCCCCAGCTCCGAGAACGGCCTGTGTTGTCCTGGCTTTTGATCCCTCGGGTTAACGATCGGCGGCTGTATTGGATTGCCAGGCGGACTTCTCACGCCGGTTGGTGGGAGGCACTTTCCCTAAATGCGGCTTCTGGCGTTGGCTGATAAAGTGACCATGCTTGCAACGCCAAGGGAGTGCGAGTGACTTACACACACACACACACACACACACACTCCCCGCCCCTCCCCTCTTCATTCGGATTGTGGCGGCGGGTGCGTGTGTGGGGACCCGGCTCTGAAGCGTGTAGATTCTGCAGGAGCAGGACGCTGCTTTGACGATGGGGAGAAACCTGCCGTCCCAGGGCTTTCTTACTGGTAAAATCCGACTGTCCTGCTGGGAGGAGGAACTTGGAAACCCTGCGGCCCCCGGGTTTATTTGAGGTGAGGGGGCTGGGAGACAGGAATGGCAAAGAATGTCTTCGGAGGTGGAAACAGAACCAGCTGCTGAAACAACTTCGAGCAGCCCAGAGGGAAGAACAGCAGCACCTGCAGATGTTCGAGAGGAGGTGAGCAACCCAGGGCACATCTGGGCGGGGCGGGGGTTATCCTTGGTGTACCTGTGTGCAGTGTGTGGATATATATGCATGTGTGTGACAGCCCCAGCTGGGCGGACGGAGACACACGTATGCATTGTATACAAACCCAAGAGGAGAAAGTGATCGGTAATTGGTCTTGGTTCCTGAACTCGGCGGGAAAACCCGGACTGCGGGCAGGGCTCGATCACTTGCGGGGTTTGGTGTTTCTTCGTCCGAATTGGATTAAACAAATGAAATGGCGAGTGGAAATTGCGGGGAATTTCAGTGCAAGAAAAACAGTCTCAGGGAGCAACGTAAGGAGCTGTCGCTGCTTAAGTCTAGCCAGCTAGACGGGCATTTGGGGACCTGTATGTGGTTTGTAATGCAAAGGAGAGAAAAAATAAGTGATTGTAATGCAGCCTCGCTGGGCTTCTTGCAGCTCCTTTACTGAGGCAGTAACCAGTCAGCCGGTATCAGTGGAGAAGCCGGTGTAGGGAGATTTAATCCCACCCTACACAGTAGAGAATATCCTCCCATGCCCCCAGCAGGCTCCGGGAGCTCTCCACGGTGCTGGGGTTCTCCCCATGACAGCATCGGATTTACCCTCCACCACACCCTGCAGGACGAGAGAGCTGAGTAAGGGGCTGTGCTTTCCCCACCTACCGCCCCAAAAGACAAGGCAGGATCACCCAGTGCTCCTTTGCAGACCCAAGCACCAGGTCCCGAGAAGGGATTGGAGTCTCGCCCTGCTTCTCCTGTAAGGGAGTCACAAGAAGGGCTCTGCAGTTGTCTGGCTGACATTACAATTTCTTTCTTTCCTAACCATTGGCTGCTGCAGGTTTATAGACTGTCCTGAACAAATCACTGTCTCCAGACAGAATCATGAAACTGTCTCCAGACGTTTCAGTGCCTCTTGCTGTGCTCTCTCTGAAACATGGATACCCCGCAGAACAAGCACTGGTTAACTTTAATGCCTGCTGACCCTAATCACTAACATTTGCATTTTTAATAGGCCTCTACACAATTACAATATATGGCACCTTTAGGCAAGTACTAAAAATATGAGTGTTCTAAAAAATTCCTAAAGATCAAACAATATCAAAATCCATACTATACTCATACTGTTATATTGTTATAACATTACAGTGATGCAATATAATGTACTGGGTATGTGGAATGCAAACCAGAAAGTTTCAGATAGAAACATTTAAGCTTTGTGTTTAAATATCTAACAATGTAATACAGAACCAAATCCTGAAGTCCTTATTATGGCAAAACTCACCGAGTTCAATGGGAATTTTGCCTAAGTAAGGATTTCAGGATTTGGCCTACAAAAACACACTCTTCCCCCCCCCCCCCCACACACACACCTTTTTCAACTTCCAAGCAACAATCCAATTGGCTGAGGCCTCAAGTGACTTAAAATAGCTTTGTACTATTGCCCTCCAAGATGATCACCTCTAATCAACTTGTGTTGTCTATTTGAAGTTTGACATAAAACATATTGACCCATAACCCATTGGCTGAGACAGAGTCACATGACTCAAGGATTGTAAATATAAGCACCAGAGCATCATCCTATGTTAGAATACATTTAGAGCAAAGAGATAGTTAAACTTTTTGTCACACTTAGTGCAGCATTTGGTGTGTACTTCTTTGCTCTTCTGCAGTTTCATAGGCTTGTCATCCTCATTATAGGACATAAATCATAGGAGGGAGAGGAAGTTTTAAAGTAGTGTGAAGTTAACAACAAATTTAAATGCTACCCCCTCCCCAAAGGAAATTAATATGAGGGGCATACACTATCAGTCAAGGAACATTTCCACTTTTATTCAGGATAGCTGGGGCTCTGCCCCTGATTCAGAGGGCCACATGATCTTGTAAGTTTAAATAGAGCAGCCTCAGCAAACCCCACATTAAGTTCAGGTATATTTAGAGTAAACCACCACCAACAAAAAAACAAAAATTTCTAAACAGTATAAAACTGACCTTTCAGCTTAGGTTGAAAAAGTTACTACAGGACAATAATGTCATCAGTCAGTGATTTCAAGTATTTTATCCCATAGTCAGTCACTTTTCAACTTGTGAGGCATAGTTCACAACTGTAAATTTCAACTATTATCATTCTACAATTGCTGATATCACTGGAACTCCCCAATGTAATTACAGCCTAATAGGAGATCAATAACTGGGTAGAGCTGGGAAGGAATTCTTGATTTAGCCAGTCTGTGCTCCTAAACCACAGAGGGTTTTCACTGTATTAATCCCACCACAAAAATGTCTAGACTCTTACTGGACATTTCTGAAGATCAGAGTACTTGATCTCCACACTTATATCATGCTTAAATGATCCCCACTCTTAAATTTTTCCTCTGGTCCAATACAAACATTCCGTGTTTAATTTTACACTAACTCATTGTCTCGTTATTTTAGCCTTATGTAATGAGTCCTTTCCTCCCCCTTCTGCCTGCACAGACAGTTTCTGTGTAATGTTCTTAGGTCCCCCACAGCCCCTTAAGTGTCTGGTATAACATGGGTGCTTATCTATTATTCACACAATTTGTGTGTTCCGGTTTCTTTATAAATCATGGAAGAAAATCTTAACGGTGACTAGAAAAGCTTTTAATTGAAAAGACAAAACAAAACTGATAAGTTCCCAAGCTAGTAATAGATGTTTGAAACAGCGGAGTCTAAACAAATACAATTTAAAACAGACCCTTTGAAGAACAATTTGTTTTCAGTTACCTACTATGACCCTGATCCTGCTTTATTTAAGTCAGTGGATCTTCATCATTGACTTCAATGAGTGTAGAAAGAAGCCCTAGGACTTAAGACCAATGTTCTGTGGTTTACCTGCATGGTATTGACAATTAAAGCAAGACCTAGAGCTGGTGCTCTGCATTGTTTAATAACGCCAACAGCTGTTGCAAAAGAAACACAGACTCATTAACAAAGGTTTTGGTAGGGAAGGGAAGGAGAAATGATTTTCCAAGTATTTCAGAAGGTGTTTCCATATCTACATGGATTCTCCAGAAATATTTTCCTTCTCATTTACCTTCTTTCTTGACTGCCTTTCCTGCTCTAACCCACCCTCCTCCATTGTTATGTTTTTAACTGCTGGCTGGCCAGGTTTCCCAGATTGGAAATTACTGTGAGATCCAGACCCATATCTGGTGCAAATCAATGTATTTCCATTTATTTCAATGTAGCAATGCCAGTTTACACCAGATCAGGATTTGGCCATAACTATCTTAATTTTAAAAGCTTAATTGGAAGTTTTATTTTAGCCAATTAAACTTGGTGAATAAAAAGTCATTTATAACCTTCCATAGCTAAATAATTGCCAAGGAATCAGGATACCAGCAGGTAAGTGGCATTTTGAAATATTTGTCTCATCCATTCCTGCAGATTTAAATAGTGCTTGTCCGTTGCTGCTTTTAACTTGTCCTTTGTATTAAAAAACGATAATTGAGTGTGATACAATGTAATCAGTTAAGCTCTCCAGGTGACAGAGAAAACTACAAGAAGCAATGGGCAGATATTACTGAAATCCACAGACTCAAGGCTGTGTGACATGATCATAACATTACAGATAAGAGACCTCTTAAGTCATCTCATCCATCTCCAGTTGCCAGTGCAGGCACATGGAGAGCTTATTTCTTATATCATCAAAGAGTGCCATTTATGGTCATGACAGCACCATTTAGTATTGCTGCCTTTAAAAATACGGTATTGCAACTTTTTAAAATATTGCTTATTTGTGAGCTTCTGTCTCTCTCTAGAGCAGCCAGCATGTTGCGTGACTCTTTTCTCTCACACACACAAAAGGCCATACAACACAATGCATTTTCCATTTTGGGGTTTATTTTAATCACAGAATCCTGATTTTTCACCATACCCCCCTCTCTGACATAAGTCTAGGCATCTCAAATGCACTTATAATATTCATTTGCCCACTCTCTCCCTGTCATATCATAGTCGTTTGTGTATCACTGTTTGCATGAAGTTCTGAATTCCTAATTTATGCTGTTTAATAAATTTTAGGTTGAATGCCCTAAATTTTCAGTCATGTATAGTGTTATTGTTAACAATCCCATTTCACAGCCTTGGAAATGCTAAGAATTGGATCAACTCCCTTTACCTTTCTTCATGACTTAGATTTAGACCTAACATTCTCATGTTCTAAATTGTACCCTGTTTATGGACTGAATCATAATCAAGGAAAGGTGACAAGAGGCCCAGGAAATTCATGGCGTTTTCATCAAATCTTCCCTTTCGGAGAAAGGTTTATGGGCCCTGTAGAGTAAACAGGGAGTACAGCCCCCCAACACTGTAGATCTCCAGAATATGCAGGGATGGGAACCCCCTTAGTCCCATAGAGGGACATTTCCTCCATGCTCCCCTGTTGTCCTCCTCCTTCTAAAGGAAGGCGCTGTGCTACATTCTCTCCTTTCTCTGCTCAATAGAAACAATGCTGAGGGAGGGGGGAAGACTCACACTGCTCCCAATCAGGTATCATGAGGGTCAGTAGGTGACAATCTTGCAGAGAGCAGTTGGTGTCTTTCTCATCCTTGCCCCCTCCAAAATTCCATGAAGCACCATCCCCACAGAGTTCTGGCAGAGGAGCTTTTGGGGGTTCCCAGATCAGGGGCAGAGGGTGATGACACCAGAGAAGCACCATTCCCTCCCTGGCCCCTTCTGAATCCCACTTGCAAGATCTACCAAAGTAACATCCAAGATACCAGCAAGGGCCTCACCAGAGCGTCATACAGCAACAGCATCACCCTTTGTTTCATATTCTGTCCCTTTGCTAATGTGTTCTAGTAACTGTTTCATTTTTGTTTTATTTATATAAACACAGCTGCTACAGACTAGGCTGATATTTCCACCTCTCCAATTCCCTTACCTGATTGCTTTGCCAGAAGACTGTCCCATGTTAGCACATAATCCTTAGACTGCTGCTTTGATCATATACTAATTCTACATTTTCC